CACGCACCTGCATGCGAAAGGAGACGGGCGGTCGGCCAGGCCTGCACTCTGGGACCTGGAGCCTCCTCACAGGGATCATGCTCCGCATGAAGGCACAGAGAAAAGAAAAGAGTGTGTGGGGGGGGGGGGGGTGTTGTCAAAACGTACCAAATGGGCCTGAAAAGTCGGAAGATAGTTTATATCGTCGCATAAATAAGATGACGATTGCGTCATGGAGTGTATTTAAAACACATATGGATCTATTGATTTATTGACACCCACTCTCATGATATATAGAGATAAACATACATGGGTGGCACTGGTCTGATGCTATCCAATCTTTAGCTCTACATCCCCCCCTACTGGTACAGAAAAAAAAACATATTTCAGCACCTGAGACAGCGTTACTGTGCGACGAACCTGCACGTGAATGTAACCGGAGATGGGTAGTGTCACCTAAAATTGCACTCGAGTGAAATTATGGTGACTTAATTGTAATATGACTCCGCTAAAGGAAAAAAGTCGTCTTCCAAAGAGTTACATGAGTAACTATTTAATAAAAAAAAACAATAAAGTACTGAGTAAAAGCACAATTTCATAACGTCCGATGTTAAGATAATGAGAAGCCAAAAATTGTACTCAAGTAAAAATAATTTACTTGAGTACAATTTGACTCAAGTGAAAATTCAATGTTTACAAAATAATAGCAGCGAAATGGTGAGTGTGCAACTGTCACATTTGCTAAAACAGTCATTATGAGTAGTAGAACAAAAATACAATCAAGTGGAAAAAAAAAATACCCGTCCCTGGCGCTGTGTTGTACCTTGAATTTGACACATATTATGAGTACACGAAAACACAACCAATCACAGAAAGAGGGTTTATCATGTGACGTGTCAATCATGAGCCACAAACCCGGGCACGCCTCTGCAGCCTCGCATAACAGAAAAACATCAAACCGATAGCATTTCGTTTTAAAGTAAACATTTCATTCCGAATAAAGTGTTGATCTGGTGTGACCATTGCCCATCTCCCGTTCATATCATGTATCGCCTGATCCCTATTGTTATTTTTTAAAGATAGTCCACGACAATAATTTTGATATTGCACAAGGATATCATGAATGGTCATGTTGTTCTAGCTAGTTGGCATGTCTCCCTAATTCCATGGCAGCTTCATGCATCTTGTGTGTAAAATGATGCAATCTGGCACAGCAGATTCGATTGTCGTGAATGGAAAGCGGCAGCCAGGTGGGATTCCGCCGATGTGGAAGCGCGCTCCGCGAGATAATCCCCCAAGTGTACGCTAAACGCCAACGTCAGAAATATGCCACTCGGTACGGCTCAACTGGCTCGCAGCGGGGCGCCGCGCCGCGCCAGATGGCCCGCGGAGGCGTGGCCCCAAGTCGTTGGCGTACGTGACCCTGCTGGGAGTGAGGTCGTCCTGAGAGCTGAGGAAGTGCTGTCAGCTTTTGCAGTGTTGTGTGACGGTATCCGATATGTGACGCCGTGTGTGTGTGTGTGTGTGTGTGTATATAGATATAGATAGATAGATAGATTTTTTTTATTTGTTTATTATTTTTTCCAAGGACTGCATTTTAAAATGCAATGATACGATTCAGTTAAATTTGATGCACTCACATCTTTTCAACCAAAACCAATTTTACGATTCAAATGTTTTTGTTTTTTGTTTGTTTTTTTTTAGTTACACCACGACTCACTTTGTACAATTGTTCAAATCACCGGGAAGGAGCAACATGCCCACTCACACATGATACCCTCAACACTTATTTGCACAAGCAAGTGAAAATGAGATTGGTAAACTGACACGGGAGTTTGGAGGTTGGAAGCGCGGCACAGGGAGCGACTGTCAGCAGGCCGAGGTGGGTTCATTGTCGTGCCAACGGAAGACGGAGATTGAATATATTTAATTCATAACAGCAATGGAATGAGTCAAGCTGTTAGATCTCGAAGGGCCTCGACTCCCCGGACTGACGCTCGACGACTCATTTCAACCTGCACACTGATAGATCAAAAAGGGCCTAAAATGACGTCCGTTGTTCGTGCGGGCGTTGCTGTTGTCGCCTTCGGCTCTCCAGTCCGGTGGGTCAGTGTTAATTACGGTGAATGGTTATTCAAAAGGAGCATGTTCAAACCGCTTTCCGGGTTACATGTCGAAATGGTTCTTAATTGACGCGGCGCTGAGGTCACGAAAGCCGCACGGGGACGCAGAAAGCCGTAACGTCTCATCAAGCGTGACGATACTGTCATGCAAAGGTTTTGTCCTGATTGAGCATGCTCGTTCGCTTCTCTTTCTCAGCAAAAGTACTTCCAAGTTCAAGAGTTGACCATGCCAAGTGACAATTTAAAGTGACGCAAGCAGGACTCGACGTGGCAAAAGCTGTCACGTTGCCAAACGAACTTTCGGGAAGTTGAGCGTTGCAATAGAGCATTGCATCACCGTTACAGGGCTGTTCTCAGGTTTCTACGGTCTACCGCCGTGAGCTCTGCGCGCAGTGAACGAGTCGCTACAACTTGCAAGAGAACTAAAGGCGTCAAGATATTTGTTTGTGTTGTATTTATGCCCTTGAAATGTGTGTATGAATATTCTACGACTGCATTCGTTTCGTTTGGTCACAAAGAGTAGGCTACTGACCAACTCACAGTGGACATAAAAAGTTTACTCGCACCATGCCAGGCTTTTGTGACGTTAAAAACAAAAAAAAAAAAGGAGATCAAGATCAATATTTTCAAAACATTTTCCACCCACCACAGTTACTTGAAACCTTATCCAACTCCAAAACTTTCATCTGACCATAACACATTTTATCCAACATGTGTTTGGGTGATAAGACGAAAGATGAACTTTTTGGTCAGAATTCCAAAAAGTATGTTTGTTGCCAAAAACACTGCCTCACCAAAAGAACCACATCGTTTGTAAAGCGTCGTGGTGGTATCATGCCTTCTGGCTATTTTTCTTCAGCTGGACTTGAGGGCTTTGGGAAGGTAGAGAGAATTATGACAAGAATTTCAGGCTGATGCAATAAGCAAAAAAAACAAAAACAAAAACAAAACAAACAAACAAACCAAAAAAATTCGGAAAAGCTGACTAAAAGACCCGAACTTTCGGGAGGGTTGATAAGAGGCACTTGAAATGGTGGCAGCTGTTAGGCGACTCCCATTTAACTTGATGTCGAATGTGGTTGGTTCATCCTGAACACATCCACACTTGTCAGAGGGTGTGCACACTTTTGCAACCACATTACTGCAGCTGCGTAGCTTTACTCACTCTCTCGAAAATTCACTGTACTGTAGAAATTATAGAGTGGAAAAAGTTTAGAAGTGATTTCTCTTGATCTCTTTTCGGTCACAAAACAGGACATTTGAACACGGGTGTGGAGACTTTCATGCCCATTGTAGTCGCAGGTTTTCCCACCTGGAAAAAGTCTAGGCCAGCGGTAGACAACTTAAATGTTAGAGAGGGCCACATAGGACCAAGCACCTCCCAAGAAGCAAACAACAGTGCAAAGGATCGCAAAAAAATTACCAGTCAAGGAAAACCCCTGGACAGCAAAGCAACATGAAAATGCAAGAACTCGTTTTGTGATTATTTTTTTTTCACGAGCATCAACTCGCTCAAAATTGGAACATTATTGAGGGACTATTTCCAAATCCGCCCCACCCCCCCAAAAAAAAATGTAGGACACACCAGTATAAGACCCAGTGTAAGTGCAACTAAGACTGCCGTCTAGTGGCGATTGGTGGTATCTCAACTTAAAATTACAGTCCATATGCACAGTTCAGCAAATGCGGATTTGCATATTTGCTGACTTTTTTTTAAAAAACACATCTTTGATGTGTATCTGTGTTTTGGGATCAATTTTGGAGATTTGTTAAAAAAAAATTGATCCAAATTTATTGGTCTCATGTAAGATTCAGTACAAACTAATGAAAGATAATATTCATCATTCATTCATTTTTGCAAGCTGGCAATCACAACGCTGATTTTCATTTCCTCTCAAGGCACGACGTACCGCTTTTGTTTATTTCTTACTCTTGTTTTTTTAAATGTGAAGGGCAAAAAAATGGACACCGCTTTCCTGCCTCTTGCTCCTTAGAGTCAAATATTAATTACGGCCCCGGTCAGAACACGGTCGGGTGGCAGCTCATTTCTGTCGGTGGCCTGCAGAAGCACACGAGCCGTAATGAAATTGTTGTTTTTTTGTTTTGTTTTTTTCTCCTTCTCTTTCCAGTGCGCAACATCATGAACTCATTGGAATAAAGAC